ACAAAGTTGCCCAGAATCAAGAAGAGCTGCTGAAATGGATTGCAGACCTCAATTCAGGACTTCAGACTGAGAACTGGAGGGTACTAGATAAGCAATCTGAGTCAAAAGGCCAGAGGCTTATCTTATTCACAGACCGGGACTCTTATACTATTATACAGAGGACCGGTTACAAAATATTCACAGGACTCTCACAGAGGACTGTTAAGGTGCTGAATGATCCTGGGGTTCAGCGCTGGGCAGAACCTGTGTCAGACACAGTATCATCCAACTCGGCCTCTGAGGGGGAGGGGGATGGTGTATCCACCCCCTCAGTTGACCAGAAGAGAGTATCCAATGAGAAGGAGACAATCCCTCTTCTCATCAACCCAACCTTATCAGTACAGGGAGCTCCCTTGGAGGAAACCAGATCCAATAAAGTAAAAGGGGCTGTGGAAGAAGGTATTTAGGACACCTTTCCCAGCATTACAGAATGAACACACAACATACATACATACACACACACACACGACATTTACACACAAAACACGATTCATTAAAATTAACCTACGCCACAACAAGGCTGCTACGGCAATTTTATGTCGAAAACTTGTTGAAGGGAAAGTATACGTAGCACTTATTCAGGAACCTTCAATATATAGGGGCCAAATAAGAGGCTTAATGAATTCAGGGGGAACAGTCTACCTTGTGGCACCTGGAGAAAATATGAGACCATGCGTATATGTTAATAATCATATTAATGATCTACCCTTGCTGGAGTTTTGTTTCAGAGACACAACACATTGGGCGGAGGCTGTGAGGAGCTCACTGTCACTTCAGCCCACCTTCCATATGACTCAGATGAACCACAACCTTCCAAAGAAGTGAGGGACATCGTTGAATATTGCCATCTTAGGAAAAAGCAGCTCATCATTGGGTCTGATGCCAACCACTGACATCAACCCAAGAGGAAAATGCCTCATGGAATATTTGGTGAGTTTGAAACTTAATATTCTAAACCAAGGTAATGAGCCTACATCTGTAGTTTGCAATAGGCAGGAGGTTATCAACTTGACAATAGGGACCAATAAAATAGGAACCCTGATCAGTAATTGGCATGTATCTGATGAGCTGTCCCTATCGGATCACAGATATATACGCTTTCAAATAGGTAACATTACAGTAGATAAAGCTACTTATAGGAATCCTAAGAGAACCAACTGGAAGTCTTACAAAGATGACCTAAAGGAAAATCTAGAGATCATCAAGCAAAAAATACGCACAATAAAGGATGTTGATCGGTCCACTGACCAGTTGCAACGAGCTATTATCTCATCCTTTAATAGGAATTGGCGGCTAGGACCACTCGTGAACCAAGGAGATTGCCTTGGTGGAACAAACAGCTGAGGGGGCTTAGAACCAAAACGAGAAGGCTGTTTAATACAGCTAAAAGAACAGGGCAGTGGGACACCTACAAGGAAGCCCTTACCTGTTACAACAAAGAAATAAGGAAAGCCAAGCGATCCTCATGGAGGAGAGACTGCCAGAAGATCAATGATGTACCAGGCGGTGCCAGACTCATGAGAATCATGGCAAAACAGGCAGCCAACAAGGTCAGCACGATTAAGCTGCCTAACGGGCAGTATACTCAAACAGGAAGGGAGACACTGAATGAATTATTCAGGGTTAACTTTCCTGATTCAAAACTGATTGATAATTCGGACGATGGATGGGGTCAGCAAAACCTGGGCACTTGCCAAAGCAAGACAAACAGAATAGACTGGAACCTGGCCAAAGTCATAATTAATCAATCAAAAATCAGATGGGCACTGAATACCTTTAGACCATTTAAGTCAGTGGGAACAGACAGAATTGTACCGGCACTTTTGCAGCATGGGGCAGAACTCTTAGTTCCACACCTATGCTGCATATATATATATATAGCCTGCATAGCATATGGTTTTATCCCAATGGCATGGAGGAAAATTAAGGTGACATTTATCCCAAAGCCCAGGAAAGTTGATTATACCGAGGCTAGGGTTTATCGTCCTATCAGCCTGTCATCTTTCCTTTTGAAAACAATGGAGAAAATAGTCGATAGGCATATCAGGGACAGGGCGTTGAGGACATATCCTCTACACCTAAACCAGCATGCCTACCAAACAGGTAAATTTACCGAAAGCGCACTACATAATGTGGTAACACGTGCAGAAAGTGCGATTGAACACAAGGATATTGCCTTAGGAGCATTCCTTGACATAGAGGGAGCTTTCGATAGAATCTCATTTGATATAATCAAACAGGCCGCTGGAAAGCATGGCACTGAGCCTGCAATATGCAGATGGATCAGTGCTATGCTGGAAAGCAGAACCATAACTGCCACACTATCAGGAGACCCCCTGGGGGCGTCCGCGTCTAGGGGGTGTCCGCAGGGGGGCATGCCTTCGCCTCTGCTGTGGAGCCTGGTCGTTGACGATCTCCTGTGGGGATTCAATGATGGGTATTATACAGTAGGATATGCTGATGACACAGCAATCCTCATAAACGGAAAATTCCTTTCAACAGTATCAGAGTGTCTTCAAACAGCTCTGTACACAGTCCAATGATGGTGTGAAAGAACAAGCCTTTCCACCAATCCCAATAAGACGGTAATTATACCGTTTACCAGGAAGAGAAATATAAAGGGCCTTAAGGAACCAACTCTCTTCAATAAGACAATCCAGCTCTCCAGCGATGTCAAGTACGTTGGACTAGTATTAGACAAGGGACTGACATGGAAAAAGCAGCTGGATAAGGTCATCAATAAAGCCTATAAGGCTTTCTGGACATGCAGAAGCATGTTTGGTAAAACTTGGGGACTGCAGCCGCATGTTGTGCATTGGATATACACTGCAGTTGTAAGACCCATAATTACATATGGCGCAACAGTATGGTGGCCCAGAGTTAAACTCAAGACAAGCAAGGCAGAACTTAGCAAATTACAAAGGTTGGCTTGCTTGGGTATCACAGGAGCAATTCGAACATCTCCAACAGCTGCACTGGAGACACTCCTTGGACTCCCCCCACTGCATTTACAGTTGGAGGCAGAGGCCAGGGCAGGAATCTACCGTCTCCAGTGCAGTGATCAATGGAAACCTAAATCCAATAGTTTCGGACATGCATACATAACTGAGGACATGAAAAAAGAACCCATATTACAAATGGGGTCTGACAAAATGATACTGAGACATGTATATGAAAAACCCTTCAGTCAGATTTCCTGACATGAGTGAATGGCAAGGCGGGTTTCGGCCCGAGAGGAAAGGGAGACTGATCTGGTATACAGATGGTTCCAAGACAAATAGGGGCACTGGAGCTGGTGTGTACTGCCATGGCACGAGGCGGAAACTTAGTTTCAGCCTCGGGCAGTACACAACAGTATTCCAGGCAGAAGTATATGCCATTAAGGCATGTATTATGGAGAATCTAGATAGGAACTACAGAAACAGGAACATCTACATTCTCTCTGACAGCCAAGCTGCACTTAAAGTGCTTGACAAACACCAGATCAACTCAAAATTGGTCTGGGATTGCCACCAAACCCTCATGGAACTGGCCGAACATAACAGGATACAACTGATATGGGTGCTGGGGCATGAGGGTATTGCTGGAAAAGAAACAGCAGACCAATTACCTACGACTGGAGCTGAACATCCATTCATAGAACCTGAACCAGCCTGTGGCATCTCTACAGGAGTTGCCAGAAAGGCAATCAGGGACTGGAGAAATATGAAGCACAAGAAATACTGGGCATCCTTGACTGGACTCAAGCAAAGGGACTCATATGAGGACCCTCTACTAAACAAGTGAATGAACTGTTGAAGCTAAACAAGAACGAGCTACGATGGGTGGTAGGACTACTTACAGGACACTGTCACCTCAAAGAACACCTCTTCAAATAGGGACTAAGTCCAACTTGTGAGAGGTGTCAAGAAGAAAACGAAACAGTCACACATATCCTGTGTGAATGTGACCTCAGTACTACACAGAAGTGAGTGGTCAGCATCATACTTCGACCACTTCAGCCCCAGAGAAAGAGCCCCCTGGTAACCACTGGACAGGAGGCTGGGTGGGCCCCAGAGCTGCTCAAGGTATATATATAAAATCTCAATATTAGTGTTCATTGGGGGCATGTGACAGGGTAGTTGGTTGAGGCACTATGCTACAAGCCAGAAGATTGTGGGTTTGAGTCCTGATGAGGTGGATGTTTTCAATTTACCTAATCTTTCCAGCCACACTATGACACTGGGGTCAACTCGGCCTCTAACAGGAACTAACAGTACTCGAAACTCTCCTCCGGGGTAAAGAGCGGCCAGAGTGTAAGGCTGACAACCTTACCACTGTCTGTAAGCCAAATGTCTAGAGAAAATGTGGGAGCCTCGACGTCTCACAACCCTATGGACCTTCATGGCTGTTACAGAGATAGCTATACCTTTTTACTTTTACCTTTACCGTTGATCACTAACAGATGAATCTATTTCTCACTTACTTCTGTCAGATGCAATTTCGTGCAACATTAAAACATGTTAAATTTAAATACATCTTATAGGTCCAATTATTATGCACGTGCTTGTACTGATGATTGCAGGTGGATATTTGAAAAACACGATTGTTTAAAATGTGGCTAGTAAATAAGCAGAGTACACCACTGAGTGAATTGAAGAGCCTTGACTTATACTATAACAAACGGTTAAAATATTATTAACAGATTATAAACAAATATGGAAAATGTATGCAAATTATAACAGCACACACAGAGTTGACATACCTGTTGAATCACGAACATATTTTACTATGTTTGTTTGTGATTGTTACAATGGTTTATTTAAACGTGTGCAGAAAACGCATGAACTGAAGTTCGAAATTTATCAGAACTGATCTAATAATTTTTAAACAGCACGTGTTGGTGTTGGTACCAGAAGAATAAAATAAACGTGTGACTGTAAATAAATATGAATCAGAAGCACATTATAAAAAAAGCTTACCTTTGCCCAAAGTGTATTAAGTACATGCTGCCTCAGTGCCCTTGTGCTTCTTTTGGTAAACAGAGACATAATATTAAGTAAAAGTGTACGTTTCTCACACTATAATCCCTCACTTAATAACACAATAGGTTAGTCCATCGCGGTCCATCGCAACCGATTTCAGCCGATGTTAACCATCCTTACGATCCTTACCGATCCTTACCGATCTGAACGATGTGAACAAACGACCACATTGGCCTTGTTACTACCGCTACGACGGCTACGTCCTGTACTACGACGACTACGAGCACTATCACCGACTACGACGACTGCGACCACGATATACCATAACATCAAAGTCGTCAAAGTATTGGCACGGAATTCGTCCAAAGGCTGGAAATCAGTGATCAGTAAAGGGAAATGACTGATATTTTCGATATCAGTCACCTTAACTGAATTTTTAACTTCCACTTGAAAACAGAGAACGCAAGTCAATGTTCTACTATTGACCGGTGGAGTCGACATATAAATGGACATGTGATAAATGACTGAACTTCCACCCTCAGGGTAGAAAGAGACGCGAGTGAGGAACCAACGTGAGCAGGTGCCTGCAGCCAAAATGTCGGCTCACACAAGACCTACATAGCACCACATCCAGAAGACGGCATTTTGAATTCACTTTAGTGGTGGGTGGAGTCCAACTGGATCCACTCGGCATTGCGGCCACTGATTGGCCTATTGTAGCCTGCCCTGGGTGATTATGATGATGGAGCAATTGTTGGAATGAAGATTGGCAAGGGAAACCGAAGTACTCGGAGAAAACCCGCCCCTGCGCCACTTTGTCCACCACAAATCCCACTTGACCAGACCCGGGAAGCCAGCGACTAACCGCTTGAGCTATGGCGCGTCCCGAACAGAAGACGGCAATCTTCATAGACACCGATGTGAACACCTCAAATCTTACAGAAGCTGAAACAGTTCTACTTGACAACCTGCAAAGAAGTTCTGTGGCTTGTAACAGAACTGAGATATGCATTTTGAAATTTTCAAACTGTTATTTGTGTTCATGTTTTAAGCAAACAAAACGAAGTCATATGTCATTGGATTTACCTTTTATTGTCAAGTACACGTATCTCGCCGAGCAGCTAAACGTAACATGTAAGGAACATGTGCACAAGCACACATACTATATACATACAAATCGAAACCTGATTCAGGAGGAAATTAAGAGGAGATTGAACTCGGGAAACCATTCAGTCCAGAACCTTTTGTCTTCCCGTCTGCTGTCTAAAAACATAAAAATTAGAACATATAGAACTATAATCTTGCCTGTGATTTTGTATGGGTGTGAAACTTGGTCTCTGGCAATGAGGGAGGAACATAGACCGAGGGTGTTTGAGAACAGGGTGTTGAGGAGAATATTTGGACCGAAGAGAGACGAAGTGACAGGAGGTTGCAGAAAACTGCATAACGAGGAGCGTCATAACTTGTACCCTTTTCCAAGTATAACTATAAAGATCAAGTCAAGGAGCATGAGATGGTCAGGGCATGTAGAACGAATGGGGAGAGGAGGAATGCATGTAGGATATTGGTGGGAAAGCCTGATGGAAAAAAAAAACCACTGGGTAGACCAAGGTGTAGGTGGGTGGACAACATTAAAATGGATCTTAGAGATATAGGATGGGATGGACTGGATTGATCTGGCTCATGTTACGGAAAACTGGAAGGCTCTTGTGAACACGGTAAAAGACAATTTCTTTATTAAAACCGTCACAACACAACTATATTGAGGTCTGCAGAACCAAACTTGGCACTGACCTCAATATATTTGTGTTATGACGGTTTTAATAAAGAAATTGTATATCATAACACAACAGGATGCATGAAATGAAAAAAACGGTAAAAAACCTTCGGGTTCCATAAAATGCTGGGAAGTTCTTGCGTAGTTGCACAATTGGCGGTTTCTCAAGCAGGGCTCAGCTCCATGAGTGATTTATAAGTGAATCGCACATGTACGGAATTTGGAACACCAAGTGCAAATCGCGAACCGGTGGGCGCCTGTCAAATTTGGCAATAGTGCGGGTAAATCTGTTCTGCAGGCGCTAAAGTTTCATCAGATGCGTGTCCGCCGCAAACTACTAGATGGGACAGGCATGAGTTACTATTGGCCTAATTAGCTCTCTCTACACGATTATTTTATTATTTGCTCTCAAATGCTGGTGTTGGATATACAGCGTGTCCCAATATACGTGCCCGAGGCCTTGGCTGCTGGTTTCTCGATGTGTAGTCTCCATGTCATCCTTCTATCGATGATGACACCGAGATGTTTAATGTACTTAACTCAGAATTTTTGTTTTTGTTCATTGGTGATGTTGCACTGCTTGTCTGATCTAATGTTATAATGGGAATTTGAATTTTGTCCGTATTACAACAAACATTCTTGTAAAATTGCAAGTTTCAAAAGTAAAAAATTACCTGAAGAGTTTAATTATACTCTGTTGTAACCGTACGTCCCTCGACAAAATTATTTAATTAAGGGCATTAACAACTGATGCATTGTTTAATACTATGAGAGACGCTCCATCGGCGAAATACCATCCCGGGACCGTCTAGTTTTAATTCAGCGATTGTCCTCCTTAGGCTAAGGGTGCTACTATTGTCCCTAACGTCGCCAGTTTTTCCCAGTATCATAAACCCATGAACTGACCGTGTGCGAGACCGGCCAGGAGGGGTCTTGCGTGCCTTGAAGACCTAAAAAAGTTACGGGCTTCTCGAAAAATACGAATGTAGGTCAGATGCCGGGCTCGACCCTTGGCTTTCTCCTTTTATGTTTCTATTTTTTCGTTTTTTTAGGCCAATTGGGGGACTGGTAAAGAGAGGGCAGTCGGCTATAGGGAGCGGAGGAGGACAGTAGTTGAATGGTAGATATAGA